AGCTTGATAAAAAAACTTATAAAATTCAAATTAAGTGTTCCTTCCTTGGCTATGCTTTGCACACATAACAATGACACTAGCCAAACCAGTTAAGAAACAAAAATAATTCTCAGCAGCTGCACCTATTACAAAAAAAAAGTCTGAAACTGAAAAGAGTGTAGAATTATTCAATCACAGTGTTCTGAAAGTGCATTGTCCTCTATTCTGCACTTTAGATGAATGACTGCTTAGGTGCCACTGGTGACGGCACTGTATCGATACTTTTAAAAACGAGTATTGTATCCGGATACAACATTTCAGTATCGATACTTTTTTGAGTTTCGATACTTTTGACAACCCTACCAGCTACAGATTCTATTCTCACCAAAACAACCTCCTGTTTTCATTTTACAATCTATTCCTCTAATACGTCTTTAATGATGGTGGCAGCCTGGCTTCTGTCAGCGAACCCCAGGGCAGCTGTGGCCATGATGTAGCTTAACACCATCAGTGTGAGTGAATGGGTGGATGTAGTGCTTTGGTCAGGTCTCAGGTCAGTCCATTTAACATCTTCCACTGGAAGCTGAACAGAAAGGAAACTAGCTGTGGATAAAATCCATAATTTGTTAAGTATCATTATTCATTTTCTATCACTGATTTGTCTATTTGGCAGTTTTACTACATTTAAATCGCCCGAATCACTAATTAAGATAAAATCAATGTTACTGAAAAGATAAACAACTGTCCAGAGTTTGTCTTTCATATTGAATGATTTCCACTGAACTTTCTCATCTTTATGTTAAAGAAAATCTAAACCCAGCCTCTTAACTAAAGCAAACACTTCAGGAAAATTCTTTAACGTAACTGCTCTCATCCTGGACACTATCTTATACAGTAGATATTTAAACATACAGCAAATTAACCTTATAAACCAACAAAGCAACTCACCTGAAACTATACTTTAGAAATACGCTATACCCTTTCACTGATTAACAACAGATTCAACTAAAGCTTGTTCGTTTTTTTTTTTTAATAAATATATAATAACATGTTTTATAATACGTCTCCCACATTCTTAACTACAAACCTCCTAATTCCTTAATCATCGCTCTATCAGATAAATATCTTTCTTTATGTGCTATTGGAACGACAAAAAGCAGGAAATGTTTGAGAGATAAATGCTTTTCTATGATTCCCAACAAGCCCTGCAATGGCATCGAGACCTGTCCAGGGTGGACCCCGCCTCACGGAAAACGGATGGATGGATGGATGGACGGACGGACGGACGGACGGATGGATGGACGGACGGATGTGTAAAGCACAGAGTAAAACCTACTTTGTTAGTGAAACTACACTACCCTACAGTGCTTTGCCTTGCCACTGCTGACATGTCCTGGCTCCGATGCCATGGCCTGAGTAGCTGCTTCCTCTCCCTTCAGAGACTCCTTCAGCAGGGAAGCTCAGCTGAACAGGCAGTAAATCCACCCAGATCTCCTCTTTCAGAGTCCGGCCTTGGCTTTCCATCATCCCTGCATCCTGCAGAGGCCTTCTGCTCCGTCAGTGATCTATGGGCAGCGTAAGGGGAGCAGATCTGACTAACCCAGGTCAGCCGTGATGTGAAACGCTGAGTCGACAGGCTTGGATTTTCTCCACAGCATGCTTCTGACCAGGCTTTAGACTCTTCATTGATTCAGCTTTATGGCTCCAGCCTGTGTGTCATTACTAAGCGTTTGGCAGAAATTAAAACACCAGTCACAATGATTAGACTTTGTTTAGCAGCTAACAAAATACAGCAGGAGAAAATGCAGAAATATTAGAAATGTGAGGCTCATATTCTTCAATAAAGCCCTGCAGAATCATCCCCATTCACACATTCCCTGCATGCCGCACACACCTGTATTGGGCACCCTTCTGCTTTTTAAAATCAGAATCAGCTGCATTTCACACCAGGATTTTGACTTTTGAAGTCAAGACATTTTAAATAGAAATACGGTGAAAAACAAATGTTCTTTTGAGTAAAAAGCTTAGTGTTGTTCTAAGTTGTGCAGTCAGTGTGTCAGTTCCAGCTGTTCCGACAGTAATACCGCTGAGAAGAGATGTAAAACACAGAGAGGTGGTGAGGTGAGCTACGTTTCACCATGAAACCTATATCAGCCTGGCAGCTCGCCCACAGTCCAACCTTTCACATTGTTTCCAGTGGAATCATGGAAGAGCATCATTGCTGATGAGCTGCAGCCTTCTGCTTGTCACCACAGAGGCTTTTTATCTGATTTCTTACATGGTTTCTACATCCATTTAAGAACTTCATCAAGATACTAAAACCCAACCAGCTAATATTCTATTAATTTTATTGGTCTTTCCTTTATAAATGGTAACATTAGTAATAAAATGATTGTTGAATATTACAGCTATTGCTCGTTATAACCATGTTGGACAGACTAATTCTATTTCTACACTCACTGCCTGGAAAAACCAATGTCAAGCTATTTGGATTTAAGTGAAGCTCGGCCATTTTCCTTTCTTTCACTTATAAAATATAAAACAACAAAAGCACCCTGCTGTTTTTGAAGTTGAGTAAAACGCGATCATTGTGTAGAAACTGAAGGAGCAACATAAACCTGCCTAGTTAAGGTCAGCATGTGTGTTAAGCAGCAGGCTGCAGGCTAGCAGCCCTAGCAGCTAACCTGGAAATTATTATTTACAGATTGCCAATAATAATGTTTATAACGTAGAATTTAAGCAACAACAGGAGCTATTTTTGTTTCTGAAATATTTGCAGATTTGCTCAATAAAATAACATTAATGTCATTAAAGGTCAGACTTTTCACATTTATATCAGATGATTTAAACAGAAAATCATGTGACCTGGACATTAAATGTTTGCTACAAAACTACAAAAATAGGCAAAATCCCCCAAAAATGTCCAATAATTCAATTTACATGCAGATTTATTTTTCTTTTGCTATTTTGTTTTTCAAGAATAAATAAAAAGATAAATAAAGTGCAGTATTGAGCTCAATAGATTTCTGATGAATTCATATAATCCATGTTTTGTTCATTCAGAGATAATTAGTTGGGGAAAAAAGATTTTAACCGACCAAACAAGAGTTAAACATTATAGAAATGGGAAAAAAAAACCTCTGTGTCTCTCAAAGGAATTGTTGAAAGTTTGGTGCTCATAAAATAAAAGCCATAAAACAGAAAGTAAAGAAGTGGAATCAACCATCTTCTCCTCCTACTGAAACTGCAGAGTCCAGTTTGCACATCAGAGATTTTTACCACCCTGACCATAACAGCCGACGCTCCCTTCATCCCATCATCATCATCATTTAATTAACCCCATCTGAAGCACATCAGCTCTGTGTTTCCAGCCGGCTGTCTTGAATCACAACTTATCAGAGCAATTGTGACTTCCAGGCAGCAGGCCGCCACTAAAGAGCTCCTGTGTGACAAACACACATCAACAGGAGGCTGAAGTCTCTGACTAACAAATCCTCCCTAAAATGGCCGATAGGAAACACTCATCTCCTTCTCCTCAGGTGCTTTTTTTAACTCTCCGATTGGTTTGCCTTTTATAAAGCCTGGGGGCGACCTAAATTCCTCTTCTGTTGAGGTTTGGGGCCAGGAGAACCGCCACAGGCTCTGGACTGGACAGACAGGCCGGCGTCAGGCAAACAGCGCCTGATTGAAATCAATTTCTTTCCTCAGAGGTGCGTAAATAGATGAACAAATAAGCGGATAAATCCAATTTTCCCTCCTCCTATATGTTTCAACTTCAACCATCCGGCTGGTTGATATCCAGCAGTTTTCCACAGTTAATTATCTCCTTTGACAGATGTGGTTTATGGGTTTATTTTGGCACCAAACTGAGACAGGCAGAAAGATTATCCCAGATCAGCTGTGACCACTGCACTACTACTACTCACTACTGGTGAGCCTTTGAAAAAAAAAACACAGCCGTTGCACATAACACACACAACATCTCAGACAAACAAACATAAAATCCACACAGAGGTCTGATGAAAGCAGCCAAGCACATTATAAAACATGAAGCTCCATGAATTCTGTCCATTAAAGAACAAAAAAAGGTGAAGCAGATCCTCAGCTGCACAGGACCCAGGTGTCATCTCCTCTACTGACAGTGGAGATACCTAAAGTTCTGGAAATGTTCTGATATCTGCTGCCATCACCGAGCGAGATCCCATTGTTCCACAAAGGTCAAAGGTTAAAAATGGAGGTTCTGAGCTGCAGAATTCTGGGATTTTATAGAAGTTATCCCAATTTGCATGGTGCAAAATGTTGATTTAATGCACAACAGGCGTGTTTTTCAAAACTTTGGATTGGGACAATTTATTGTGAGAAGCCAGTATTATAACCTGCTATTACAGCTTCAGGACACAGTTATCAATGTATTCACAGTCTGATTTGAGGAAAAACTCACTGCTGATCTGCAGCAGAGCGTAAAGAATGAATACAGATAAAACATGAATGATGCCTTTAATTAGAGGCTTTTCAGGCTCAGCTTTTACTATTTCCAGCATGAAAATTAAAGTCAGGAGATTTGTCAAGATTATCCACATTTCTTCTAAGACTTCTTTGAATTTATTTACTTTTTAAGTCCATCACAGTTCAAACTGGTTTTATATGCATTCATAGACCGGAAGTGATGGGAGGTTCCAGTTTTTCTATATTTGAGCAGAACAAAGTAAATAAATGATTAATTATTACTTTTAACTCAGGGATATTTACTTAAAAAAGAAGTTTGGCAAAGGTAATCAGATGAGCTGCCAGCAGCATCTCTGCTTCCTTCTGTGTAAAATTAATCTTTTCTCACTAGTTTAACAAAACTCAGACTTACCAACGAAATATAACAAAAAACAAAGAAATCCAGTTTGAGAGTTTGAGAATATTAGCGCAGATGAAAGTAATTAAAGCAGCCGTGAGAGTGAATCCAGGTCAGCTCCTTTCCTGCAAAATAATGGGATTTAAAAGCTTTCTGAGGATTAAATCTCTTTTCTTACCTCTTTTTCTCCTTGTCAGCCGCCATGGTTTAATCTCAGTCTTGTAAGTCCGACAGTCTGAGTTAAGTCCAACTTTAGAGTTAACAGAAGCTTGTTTTCTATTTAAAAAATGCAAAACGCAAAAAAAAGGAAAACAGTGCGGCCCAGTGCGCAGAACAGGAGGACCCTGAGGATCCTGGCATGCAGCAGGGGGCTGTGCTTCCAGGCTGGGGGGCCACAGGTGGTGGATAATCGGGGGGCGTACAGTCTCAGATCACTGCCGAGGATCGTACAGCCTCTCACCCGCAGAAGAGAGCGCGCAACACCGGCTGGGAGAGAAGTAAGCACCGCTGCCGCAGGTTCCAGACTTTCCTCGCCTTCTGAGGGCAGCAGTCCCTCCGCAGGCGGATCGCTCTCTGACCTGGGTGTCAGCTGGCTCCATGACAGCGGGCCCAGGGCGCTGATTGGCTCCGGGAGCCGCCGGGTGCCACCCCCTCCTGGCTGAACATAACCGCCCCCCCCTATCCTACCTGTTTGTCCCCTGATGCGTAGCAGGTGTTTGGGGCCCCGTTCATTTCATCCTGCGGACTCATAGATGAATAAAGGGTTTAAGAATAGTTTCTGAAAGGAGATTTAAAAAAAGATGAATATTAGAGCAGAACTACTAAAACCATCTGCAGTAACCCCCCCCCCCCCCCCCCCCCCCCAACATTAATTTAGTACCTGCTTTAAAAGAATAAACAAATGACAAAATGTTCCTCTACACTTTATAGGGCAGTAATTCAATGAATAAAAGGCAATATAAAACAAACACAATCATTGGGCTGCTCCCTGGAGCAGAGCTGGTCCAAACCCACACATGGCCCCAAGTAGACCATCAGCCCCCCTTAGCCCACCCTCATTCAATAGTTATTTGGGTTTAAAAACAACAGCAAAAAAAAAAAAAAAATTCAACAACCTTCACCTTATTGTGAAATCATACGATAAATTCAAGTCAGTATTAAAAATCAATTCCAAAACACATTATTATCCCAGTGAGAAAATAGTGTCGAATAAATTATGTGTACGCTCTATGGGTGGAGGCGCTCTAAGGGTTTGGGCGCTCTAAGGCTGGGGACATTCTAAGGGTAGGAGCAATCTAAGGGTGGGGACGATCTAAAGGTGGGGACGTTCTAAGGGTAGGAGCAATCTAAGGGTGGGGCACGATCTAAGGGTGGGCACGATCTAAGGGTGGGCACGATCTCAGGGTGGGGACGATCTAAGGGTGGGGACGATCTAAGGGTAGGAGCGATCTAACGGTGGGCACGATCTAAGGGTGGGGACGATCTAAGGGTGGGGACGATCTAAGGGTAGGAGCGATCTAAGGGTAGGAGCAATCTAAGGGTGGGCATGATCTAAGGGAGGGGACGATCTAAGGGTAGGAGTGATCTAAGGGTAGGAGCAATCTAAGGGTGGGGACGATCTAAGGGTAGGAGCGATATAAGGGTAGGAGCAATCTCAGGTTGGGCATTATCTAAGGGTGGGCACGATCTAAGGGTGGGGACGATCTAAGGGTGGGGACGTTCTAAGGGTAGGAGCGATCTAAGGGTGGGGACATTCAAAGGGTGGGGATGATCTAAGGGTGGGGACGTTCTAAGAGTAGGAGTGATCTAAGGTTTGGGACATTCAAAGGGTGGGAACGATCTAAGGGTGGGGACGATCCCTCCCCCCCAACATTAATTTAGTACCTGCTTTAAAAGAATAAACAAATGACAAAATGTTCCTCTACACTTTATAGGGCAGTAATTCAATGAATAAAAGGCAATATAAAACAAACACAATCATTGGGCTGCTCCCTGGAGCAGAGCTGGTCCAAACCCACACATGGCCCCAAGTAGACCATCAGCCCCCCTTAGCCCACCCTCATTCAATAGTTATTTGGGTTTAAAAACAACAGCAAAAAAAAAAAAAAAAAATTCAACAACCTTCACCTTATTGTGAAATCATACGATAAATTCAAGTCAGTATTAAAAATCAATTCCAAAACACATTATTATCCCAGTGAGAAAATAGTGTCGAATAAATTATGTGTACGCTCTATGGGTGGAGGCGCTCTAAGGGTTTGGGCGCTCTAAGGCTGGGGACATTCTAAGGGTAGGAGCAATCTAAGGGTGGGGACGATCTAAAGGTGGGGACGTTCTAAGGGTAGGAGCAATCTAAGGGTGGGCACGATCTAAGGGTGGGCACGATCTAAGGGTGGGCACGATCTCAGGGTGGGGACTATCTAAGGGTGGGGACGATCTAAGGGTAGGAGCGATCTAACGGTGGGCACGATCTAAGGGTGGGGACGATCTAAGGGTGGGGACGATCTAAGGGTAGGAGCGATCTAAGGGTAGGAGCAATCTAAGGGTGGGCATGATCTAAGGGAGGGGACGATCTAAGGGTAGGAGTGATCTAAGGGTAGGAGCAATCTAAGGGTGGGGACGATCTAAGGGTAGGAGCGATATAAGGGTAGGAGCAATCTCAGGTTGGGCATTATCTAAGGGTGGGCACGATCTAAGGGTGGGGACGATCTAAGGGTGGGGACGTTCTAAGGGTAGGAGCGATCTAAGGGTGGGGACATTCAAAGGGTGGGGATGATCTAAGGGTGGGGACGTTCTAAGAGTAGGAGTGATCTAAGGTTTGGGACATTCAAAGGGTGGGAACGATCTAAGGGTGGGGACGATCTAAGGGTAGGAGTGATCTAAGGTTGGGGACATTCAAAGGGTGGGGACGATCTAAGGGTAGGAGTGATCTAAGGTTTGGGACATTCAAAGGGTGGGAACGATCTAAGGATGGGGACGCTGCAGTAACACCCCCCCCCCCCCCACATTAATTTAGTACCTGCTTTAAAAGAATAAACAAATGACAAAATGTTCCTCTACACTTTATAGGGCAGTAATTCAATGAATAAAAGGCAATATAAAACAAACACAATCATTGGGCTGCTCCCTGGAGCAGAGCTGGTCCAAACCCACACATGGCCCCAAGTAGACCATCAGCCCCCCTTAGCCCACCCTCATTCAATAGTTATTTGGGTTTAAAAACAACAGCAAAAAAAAAAAAAAAAAAATTCAACAACCTTCACCTTATTGTGAAATCATACGATAAATTCAAGTCAGTATTAAAAATCAATTCCAAAACACATTATTATCCCAGTGAGAAAATAGTGTCGAATAAATTATGTGTACGTTCTAAGGGTGGGGGTGCTCTATGGGTGGAGGCGCTCTAAGGGTTTGGGCGCTCTAAGGTTGGGGACATTCTAAGGGTAGGAGCAATCTAAGGGTGGGGACGATCTAAAGGTGGGGACGTTCTAAGGGTAGGAGCAATCTAAGGGTGGGCACGATCTAAGGGTGGGCACGATCTAAAGGTGGGGACGTTCTAAGGGTAGGAGCAATCTAAGGGTGGGCACGATCTAAGGGTGGGGACGATCTAAGGGTAGGAGAGATCTAAGGGTGGGCACGATCTAAGGGTGGGCACGATCTCAGGGTGGGGACGATCTAAGGGTGGGGACGATCTAAGGGTAGGAGCGATCTAACGGTGGGCACGATCTAAGGGTGGGGACGATCTAAGGGTGGGGACGATCTAAGGGTAGGAGCGATCTAAGGGTAGGAGCAATCTAAGGGTGGGCATGATCTAAGGGTGGGGACGATCTAAGGGTAGGAGTGATCTAAGGGTAGGAGCAATCTAAGGGTGGGGACGATCTAAGGGTAGGAGCGATATAAGGGTAGGAGCAATCTCAGGTTGGGCATTATCTAAGGGTGGGCACGATCTAAGGGTGGGGACGATCTAAGGGTGGGGACGTTCTAAGGGTAGGAGCGATCTAAGGGTGGGGACATTCAAAGGGTGGGGATGATCTAAGGGTGGGGACGTTCTAAGAGTAGGAGTGATCTAAGGTTTGGGACATTCAAAGGGTGGGAACGATCTAAGGGTGGGGACGATCTAAGGGTAGGAGTGATCTAAGGTTGGGGACATTCAAAGGGTGGGGACGATCTAAGGGTAGGAGTGATCTAAGGTTTGGGACATTCAAAGGGTGGGAACGATCTAAGGATGGGGACGCTGCAGTAACACCCCCCCCCCCCAACATTAATTTAGTACCTGCTTTAAAAGAATAAACAAATGACAAAATGTTCCTCTACACTTTATAGGGCAGTAATTCAATGAATAAAAGGCAATATAAAACAAACACAATCATTGGGCTGCTCCCTGGAGCAGAGCTGGTCCAAACCCACACATGGCCCCAAGTAGACCATCAGCCCCCCTTAGCCCACCCTCATTCAATAGTTATTTGGGTTTAAAAACAACTAAGGTTGGGGACATTCAAAGGGTGGGGACGATCTAAGGGTGGGGACGATCTAAGGGTAGGAGTGATCTAAGGTTTGGGACATTCAAAGGGTGGGAACGATCTAAGGATGGGGACGTTGTAAGGGTAGGAGCGATCTAAGGGTGGTGACGATCTAAGGGTGGGGACGTTCAAAGGGTGGGTACGATCTAAGGGTGGGGACATTCAAAGGGTTGGGACGATCTAAGGATGGGAGTGTCATGATGGGTTCACTAATAGCGACCCAAGTATGCAGAACACCACTGACGGACACAGGAATAAAAGTTCAACAAGTTTATTTTGATACAAGCACACTGAAAGTACTGGTTCTGGTTCGGGCCTGGACACTGGTTCACCGGAGTCTGCGTGAGAGACAGTTCAGTTAGCGTTGCAAGCAGGAGCTTGATTTCTAGATGATAACTGATCGTACCTTGAGGGTTCTTGAGGTTAGCTTTGGGAGAGTCACTGTTGGATCTGGAGAGGAGTTGATCAGCAGAGTCCGCTTGCTGCTTCAGCGTCTCACATCTAATAATGAACAGACCTTGGCTTAGGGTTTTCCAGCTCTTAGTCCTGAGCTGCATGGAAGTTCTCTATGGTTCTTCGGGTTTGGCTCAGAGGGTCGGCTCGGCAGGTTAGCTCTTCCTGAGCTTCTCAGAGGAGACACTGGTTTCCTGGAAGACAGAGACAACGGTCAGAATCCTGGCTGGGTTCAAAGTCACAAAGTAACACTGAGAGTCTAGGCTTAGGCGCTGACCAACTGGATCAACACTGCGGCGTTGAGGCAAGGTCTGAAGACAGATCTTGATGGGCTGCAGCTGTGCAGGAGGCTCACTCAGAAGGATCCACGGCGGACTCTGCTGGAGAAAGGTGGAACTTCTCCAGCTCCCAACAGGGAGTGCTCTAAGGATTTGGGCGCTTCAAGGGTTAGGGCGCTCTAAGGTTGGGGACATTCAAAGGGTGGGGACGATCTAAGGGTGGGGATGATCTAAGGGTAGGAGCAATCTAAAGTTGGGAAAATTCAAAGGGTGGGGACGATCTAAGGGTGGGATCGATCTAAAGTTGGGGACATTCAAAGGGTG